ACTCGTGTGTGTGTGTGTGTGTGTGTGTGTGTGTGTGTGTGTGTGTGTGTGTGTGTGTGTGTGTGTGTGTGTGTGTGTGTGTGAATTGAGCTGGTGCTGAGAGAACCCTGAGGATTCGAGGCACCAAGTCAAACTGCAATGGGCTGTGAGGGGGAGGCCAGGAGCTGCCCCCACGCCTCCGTCTCCAGCCACGTACGCTCTAGAAGTGCACGTGACACGTTAGACGTTTAAACACCTGATGATTTCACCACCCCCCGTCCTGCTTGGGTGCCCAGGAAATGGCCACACCTGACCCAGCCGTGGGTGCACTGAGAGCTCCCACCACCTGCCCCTCTGAGGTTAGGTAGCAATTGGTGCGGGAGGCTCTTGACTTTTTCCATTTCTTCCTTGTAGGGTAGGATCTCTGTCTCCTCGTGCCACTTTTGCCTTGTGTGGCCCCTGTTTCTGGTGTGGTATTTATAGATGGCTGGAATGACCTATACTCATAATGTGCTGTTTGGAAGTGCAATATCAGAGAGACTGTACAGTTCCAATGTCTTTTGGTGTATTACTTGCCTAATACAGTATTAAATATTTTTTTAATTTGAAGAGTAAGTGACCCCTTTATATCAATACCCGGTTTCTTTTGTCATATTATGGGTACTGCATGGATTCCAAGCCCTGAAACGGGGTGGGGAAAGGATGTATGTGTGTTCCAATAAACAGGATTTTAAAGCGACAGGTGGCTTGTGCTTTATTCTCCTCTGTATCCATGCCCATTGGAAGAGCACGGCCGCTCAGCCTCAACTTCACTGGGGGTCATTTAGAAGAACCACTAAATAAAGCTGGTGGTTCTAATGCCATCAGTAGCTGTCTTCTGCCAACGGGAGGCTGATGAGCATGTCCTGGAATGAAAACATCCCGGCTGGGCTCTTGGGCAGGTCCGGCTGAGAAAATCTGCCTTGCATGCACAAGAAGAGCTCCCTTGCGTCATTGCACCTACTTTTGCAGGATGACTCCATGCTTCGTTCCCACCAACGTCTTCTCTGTCTTGCTCTTGAATCTCTGCTGTGCCGATGCCACTCTTGGGAATCTACTCCCCAAAACAATTGGTCTTTGCTGCATAACGGGGCTCTCTGCTCCCCCATGGGACTTGGAACGTCAAAGCCCCAGACTCAAAACGGTAGCAAACCAGGAAATGCTGAGTTAAGCCTCCCCACAAATCTCTGCAAAGAATATTAGGGTGGCAAGAACAAAACAGCCCATAAACCTGGAAATTTCACAGGGCTGTGGTCAGTACAGCTCCACACACAATTCATCCTCAGCTGTGTCCCCTTTAGGGTGCCAACACCTTTCTGTATAGCCCTTTTGGGAATGAGCAATATTTGACTGACCTGCAGGAACCTAATTGTAGAAACGCCCCCAATGCATTGTTAGCTTCTTTAATTGTGATTATGCAACTGGAAATGAACCAGAAAGGCAGCACAGCGTGATATGTCAACCAGCAGTGATTACTTCTTCTATGAATGCAGCTCAGAGGCCACAATGAAGGACTGGATGAGCAGGAGTCTTGATTTGGTATTGTAGAGAAACCGAGAAAAAGGCCATTTTTGTTAGGGAAGGGCCCGAAGTTCCCAGTTCCTGTTGTGTCCCTCCGGGGGCAAAGCTGAGGTTGTGTTGTGTGCGAAGTAGCATCGTAGCGCTTCATTTCCAAGTTGTCAGGTTCTAATTCTGTTGAGCCACAAGGAAAAGAATGAGAGGTTTCAGAAGAGAGCTACAAGACTGATTCCCAGCTTGGAACGCATTTATCCGAGAGAAGGTTAAGAGGTCATTTGATCGTGTTCCGAAAGTACCTATGTGGGGAGAAGATTTCTGATACTAGACAACTCTTTAAAACAGCAGACAGAGCTTGTTTTTGCCACGATTCTGTGGCTGGAAGTTGAAGCTAGATAAATTCAGGCTAGAAATAAGGTGCAACTTTTTAGCAGTGAGAGTAATTAACTATTGGAACAACTTCGGGGTGGGGGTTCCCACCCTGTACATTATTTGCTCTTCCTCAAACACTAACTATTGGTCTCCAAGCAGGAATCACCGGGAGAAATGCCCTGGCCTGTGTTATGCAGGGGGTCAGACTAGATGATCACAAAGATCTGTTCTGGTCTTAAAAATCTATGAATCTTGGAATTGGAGCACATGACACATCTGGAGCTTCCTGCGCTGGCCAGTGTCTAGCACAAGGTGCTGCAGAGTGGAAGGTCCTCATTTTAAGGGACAGCAGGAGCGGGACATCCCCTATTGTTCCTCTGCAGATAGAAGGGGTATTCATCCCCCTTCCACCACAGGGAACCTGGCATTTGAGGTCTTGGAGCTAAGGTGGATGAGGACCAGGCAGATCAAGGGAGGGGTATGGTCCAGTTCTCTGAGCACGGGGCTAGGATCCAGGGACTTCTGCATATAATCTCCAGAGCTGAGTTCTGACACTCCGTGCCTTGCCTAGTTCACAGGAATGTTACTTTATTGTTACTTTTTGTATTGCAGTAGCACCTATCAGCCCCACCCATGGACCTTGCCCCCATTGCGTGCTAGGGGCTGTACAAACACAGCACAAAAAGTCCGTCCCAGCCCCGAAGAGCTTATACTTGGAAAGCATGTTGAGGATGTGTGGTGACTATCAGTTGTAAGGGAAGCTCATGGTACGAAAACGCTGGGAATTACATGAGTGACTAGAAGGGGAACGTTCTCCTGTGTAGCACTGATCTAAATTAGTGCCCCATCCAGCTCCCTTTGAAATTAGCACTGGAACTCCCAGTGATTTCAATCGGGTTGAGCTCTTGCATCTTCCTTTTCTCCGTGTTTGCTTCCAGGACTCCTAATGGAAGCAGATCCACAAGGCTGGCAAGAAACAGACAGCCTCCCACAGCGAGCCGTGCCTGAGCGAGGGACAGCGGCCCTCAGGTAACAGAGACCCAGAAACCATTTCAAACGAGACTGCCTTTATTTAAAAAAAAAAATCCAAATAAGTTAGCAAAAATAACAATAAAAAACCCCCATCCCGTCAACTCCACACAGCGCTCAGTAGAAAAGACCCCGATGGCAGCATTTACATGGCTCCTGCGCCTGCAAAACGCCAACTGGCAAAGGAAGTTGGTCAAACAGCATCTTTAAAAAAAATAAAAAAACTCCACACACAAACATTGGCCCCCAAAGAAACAAACTTCCACAAACAGGGAACAAAACACAAAGCACACGCTGGAATCCTTCCTTCTCACATGGAAGTCGTGTTGCTTCTGCCCCCCCTCCCTTAAGTACCAGTTACAATAAATCATGTCAAAATGCTTTGATCAGTCACTTCTAGCCCTTTCTTTCAGAGAGGCCGAGAACCCATAACTCCTATTGAAGTGGGGACTCAGCACCCCTGAAAATCAGGTCACCAGCTTGTGTATTAATGTAGGCTTCATTTTAAACAGCCGGTTTATCCTTTGTCTCTTAGCTGACCAAGTGGAAAGACTCTGCAATGATTAGGGAATTGGATAAGTGGCTTCACCAGTTACAGTCTATGACTTTGGACAGGTAAATACATTTTCCAGTGTCTGAAGAGTTCTGGTGCCATATTTCCACCTCATTACCAGCCGGGGAAGACTCTGAAAAGCCCCAGAGGCTTCCGCCAGCCTCAGTTTTGAACCCTCTCTTCTTGGAACGTGACGGCCACATCCTCCACCGCGATGCTTTCAACAATTGAGGACAGGGAGTGGAGGTTGTGGTCTTCAGAGGACTCGTCATTTAACAAGTGATCTACGGAGAGCAAGAGAGGAAACCGAATGAAGGGACTTTGGGGACCAAACTGCCAATGGAGGTGACTGAGGGAGACCCAAGGGGAATGGCCAGGATCCCAGCAGCTGTTGCAGCTGCAAGGAAAGGAACTAATCTGTTCAGGGCCAATGTGCTGTCCGGAAAGCATTTGCCTCGGTCATGAAATGTCAGAGATGGGAAAACTCACTCATCGGGTCACGCACACCACGTCTTAACAGAACTGGGTCATGAGAACAATCAGAGACTGGAGAACACTGAAAAGATTAGGACTGTTTCCTCATGTCCCCTCTTATTCATCTCCTCTCAGAGGTAGAGTGTACAAAATAATTAATAATGTAATAAAGGGAGATAATGTCTATTCACAAAAAGTTACATGAGAGCAGGGGGATGTTCAATGAAATTGAAAGACAGAAGATTCAAAACTGCTAAAGGAAATCCTTTTCTCACTCCAGGAGTGCCTGGTAGAACTCACTGCCACAAGATTTCATTGATTCCAAAGGAGTGGCAGGATTCAGAAAAGAGTGAGACATTTATAACAAGGTTAGCCTAAGCTGACCTGTAACTATGGGGCCATGAGGGCAGGTTATCCCATAACTGCTAGTGCAGGTTTCTCCCTCTGAAGCAGCTGGCACTGGCCACTGTTAGAAACAAGATACCAGAGTAGCTGGACCCTTGGTCTGATCAGTCTGGCAATTCCTAATTTCCTATTGTCTCATGGACACCTCCTCTCTTGTTAGCAATTACTCTACCCCCACCCCCCACCCCCTCCCCACCGCTCCCCCAATGCTGTGGGAACATCAACACTTGCTGACATGGGAAAAGGCCTTTCAGGAAGCAAGGAATATGGCTGGTTGAAAATTTTCCATTAAATCTTCTGTCCAACAGTAAATTGGGTTTTTAATTAAATGAAAAATGTTCAGGTAAAGTATCTGCTTTATGAGGAAAATTTACCATTTTTTGTTGGAAAACCAAAAAAACACACACCCCAAACTGAAGATTTGCAGCAGAAAATGGTTTTTAGCTGAACATTCTTCAGTTTTCAGAATTTTTGTTTTGGTTTGGTTTTTTTCCAACAAGAAGTCCAAATTTCCCCTGGAATAAAGCATGCATTTTTCCAGTCAGCCCCAGTCCTGAATGTATTTCGAGATGATATGAGTTAGCAGCTGGAACTAAGGAGGAACCAAAACCAGTGGAGCAGCTGCTTTCTCCATTGCCAACTGCAAGTGGGCCCTTCCATCATACAGCCTGTGTCTTAAACCTGTGTTGCATCTACCCTGAATCAGGGCAGTCAGAATAACCCAGCATGATGGCCTGACAGACAGGAAAGAATATGGATAGAAAAGAACAGGCCAGTCTGGGGTGTGTGCTCTGCTTACCTCCAGGGTGACTGCTGAACTCCAGCTGGGTGCTCCACTCTGGGCTGCAGGAGGCGCTGTTGGACCCACACTCACTGGCCACCTGTAATTAGGAGGAGACAATCACCATTAGGGTTACTCATGCAAAGAGCTCTACCCTCACACTGGGTCATCTCCCAGGTGTGCTCTGAAATGCTCTACTCAGTTGGCCCAGATGGCCCTACCTCACCTCTCCCTCAATCCCAGTGAGAAAAGCAAACCTGTTTTAAAACGTTCAGTCCATGTAGAAACACACGGCCACTGTCTCCAACCTGCTCAGAGTGAGAAGTCCTATACTTTAAATATTAATTAAGAATCCAAGCAACGAGCTCCCAAGGTGGATTGTGTGAGATCCATTGGCAAGGATTGGACCTTGAAAAGAGTATCCAGATCTCATAAGTGGCAGCTCAGATCATCAGATCATTAATGGTTGTTTTGTGCTCATGGGAGCTGAGAGTGTGTGAGCAGGATTAGGGTATTGTTGTTCTACCTTAACAGGTCCCATGATGGTCTAGCTCAGTCCTTAGGAATATTTTTGTCCCTTGGAGCTCATGACAGAATCTCCATTCCTGGGATTCAAGAAAGAACAGGACAGTAAATTGGACCCTGACAGGATCACCTGTTGTGAAGGACAATAGGGGCTTTAACTCTGGTGAGTCTTTCTACACATCTGTGTAGGGTCAATTGTTTACAAGCCTGGGATTGGGAATTATACTCGTTGCATATAAACAGACCTGTCACCTAGACTTCTAGACACTATCGTAGGGGAGACTGGGACGGGGGAGGAATAACAGAAGATGCCATTGGGTAGGGCTACACTGGGGTTGGAGGTCATGCAACAGCAATCCCCACTCCTTAGCCCCGCGCCGGGCTGGTCTTCACTAGAGATTTTTATCTGGAGTTAACTGAGTGCTAATTGACTTGTAGTACTTAACACAGTTGTAAAGGCTGGGATGGACCAACTACATGTTTGATCAAGGCTACAAACACCACTAGGGATTAGCCTAGGGTTGCTTCTCCACCCAGTGGATCATGACCCCAGGGAGGGAGGGAGGGAGGGAGTGTCAGAAAAGGCAATGGGGCCCAAGGGGGCATTGAAAATGTTATTACAATCTCTAAGCAAAGAAAATCTTGCTCCCTCACTGCTGATGTTTCAAAGTCGAGTACTGTCTGCCGCCCTCTCAAGAGTCCCACACAAGTACATTCTATAGGCATAGCATTGACACATTAGTTACTCTTGCCTTGCAAACGTAAGGGGGTTCGCAAATATTTCACTTAAAAGACTGGGTTACCAACCTGAAAAGTTTGAGAAACACTGGCCTAGGGTGAAGATCAAATGTAGCCTGGCACAAATGTGTGGGGGGGGGGAGGGCGTTGTCCACATCACCTTTTTTATATCTTGAGATAACTGACAATTCTTTAACTCCAGGTAAAAAGTCTAGTGAAGACATATGCCCCTTCTTTCTTCTCACACATTAAACAGGGAAACAGTGCGCGAAATCACTGGCATTTATACAGACTGATCCGCTCCCTTGGGTTGTGAAGCTGTCTTCACTGCAAAAAGAGGTATGTTTTTCTGTCAAGATAACTAACTTGAGAGAGCAATCTTGATGTAAAATCCTGGTGTAGATAGGACACTGTAGTTTTCACTTCGATGAAGCAAGTTGTGGTAAACTCCAGGAAGGGGAGACAGGCTATAGGATTGATCTCATCTAGCTATATGGAGGTAAAAGCTACTTTTGCCTTGTCTCCACAACATTTTTACATCAACGTAACCAGCTTGAAATAAAAATGCCCCAATTCTTTGCAGTGAAGGTATGACCTGCATTTGGAAAGACGTTATTGTTTAACAGAATCAAAGCCATTAGTGAATCAAAATTCATCTTCTCTTGTATTTTGTTTTTCTGTGGTGATTTACATTGTTCCAATTATCCAGTAAGTTAACCCACAAGCACGATATGGTTGAAAAATGGTAAGTATTGTCCAGGGAAAAAATTCAAACTTTTCCATGGGTTTTTTTGAAAATTATTTTTCTGCTAAGTGAATTGAAATGTATGTTTGTTTTGTTTCAGAGAGAAAAGGTGGGTGACATAATAGCTTTTATTGGCCCAACTTCAGTTGGTGAAAGAGGCAAGCTTTCGAGCCACACAGAGCTCTTCTTCAGTTCTGTTTCATGTTTAATTGAATATGTCCATTTTGTTTGGGCTTTTCATTTCCTTGGTTTTTGTTTGTTTTATCCCCAGGGGAAAGGGAGAGAAATGAAAAATATGGAGAAAAAAACTAAAAAACCCAAAAAACAATTTAAAAGGTCAGTTCATAACAAAACAATATGAATTTTTCAGTTTGACTTTTGTCCAAAAATAGAAAAATGTCATGGAAATTCATTTTTTTCACAAAAATGTTAGATTTTACATTATACACTTAAAGTAAACGCTTTCAATCAGTCTTACCAAGGAGTTGGGAGGAGGAGAAGAGGTAAGGAGGCTAAAATGGGTTAAAGAAAAGTTAGTAGTCCTGACAGTTTAACATAGCACTTGCCTGGTTCAGGTTGTTTTGGTAGCAAATTCCAATTGAGCATACGTTCTAGTTTTCATGCCTTTGTTCCTATAGCTTTGCCTCATCTGGTTGTTTACTTGTGGAGATTTTTCTTAATTTTGATCATTATAATGAAAGAAAAGTAATGAAACAAGAAAGAAAAAAACATTTCACAGCCAGATCTGCGCCTCGGGAACTGTGATCCATAGAGCACGGGCAGCAAGATATTGCAAACAAAGAGCTCCTCCGGTGAGGTCCTGAACACCCTCAGCTCCTGTTGACCACAATAGGAATGCGAAGGGTGGTGAGCCCCTCACAGGATTCAGCCCAGAATGCATTGCAGTCTTTACATTTCCTAAAATGTGCAAAAAAGTCATGGAAGTTTTGCAGTATTGACAAGTCTTACATTTTTATCAGGAGTCTCATGATAGTCAGTATTTTTCCTAAATCTCCAGCTCCTGAAGTCAAGTGACTACATGGCTATATCAGCTGTCTGTTGTTGTTGTTGTTTTAAAGTAAGTTTCTAGCCCCGGGGGTTGCAGAGAAAAGCTTGACTGGAGTGTAACTCTAGTGGTTGAGAAACCAGGGGGCAAATAAAAAGAACCCAACGTGTATTATCTTTTAAAAATCTAATCATTTTTAAGACCGTCTTGTTGTTGTGGTGGGTACTGACCAGAGCTGGGCAAAGAATGGATTTTCCAGCTCACTGGCAATTCCAAAACATTTAAAAAATAAAACAGTCTTCGGTCAAACTGAAAACAAATGTTTTCAATTTTTTTAGGAGAATTGAAAAGTACAACAAAAAATTCAATGTGAAACAAAAAAATGGACCTAGCTCTAGCCCTGACTCACGAGTTTTGAATGTGTACGGTTGGCCGTTCTGGTTCTGAGACTCCGGGTTGGGCCCGGATGCCCTTGTGTGGCACTTGGATGGGCACACAGAATAAAACAAATGTGCTAAACAGGTGGCCTCTTTCCCAGACACACCACGTCCTTTTGCCCTCTCCTTTACACATGCGCGGGGGCTTGCCACTCAAGTGCCATCTGCTGCAAAGACAGTTCCAGGTGCCAATCGCATTTGCTGGAAGGATGTGCAGACATTTGCTCTTAACGTGCCTGGCTCAGGGACCTTTCTATAAGACTAGCAGAGGAAGTTAACTTTTTTTTATTGCCTAGAGCATTTACTGCCCAAATATTATGATCCAATATATACACCAGATTCTCATTACACGGCATCTGCTCTAGCCACACTGAGTCCAGGCACAAGGCTGTTTTGACAGAGCAGAGCAAAGCACCGAGGACATACTGGTGAATCTGCCCTGACACATCCACCTGCAGGAAGACATCCTATGCACAATAAAGTGACTCTTTCCTGGGCAATGCCATCTTGCAGGGACTGTGTCTTGTTTCAGTCTAAGCCTTTGTGAAAGGAGAAGGGCGGCGCTTGCCCATGCAGAGAGGAGCATCTCAAGATCCCTCTTGGTTTGCTTGTTGGCATTATCAGCAGCCATGAGTTGTACCTGAGCTTGGCCTAAGGAGGAGCCTGGGGGGTTCTTGTGGAAGGGGTTAGAAGGCATAGCAGGCATTTAATACTGAAGAGTAATACTGCTTTGCACCCTGTGCCCATGTGGCTGCTCGCACTGACCAGGGGATTGTCACCCGCTTTCTTGACTGGGCTCCACATGCCCCTTTCTGGGTCACTTTTGCCAGTTCATTTTCAGATGTCACCAGCCTCCACTGTCAGCCCTTCTAGTCCATCTTCCCCTGGACTAGGAGGCAGGGGGTGTAAATGCAGGGAAGTGGTGGTCACTCTGCTCCCTCTCTATGGGCAGGGGCCGGCTGTGGAAGCTGCAGTCTCTCTATGGGCAGGGGCCGGCTATGGAAGCTGCGGTCTCTCTATGGGCAGGGGCCGGCTATGGAAGCTGCGGTCTCTC